TATAGCTATTAAGATCCCAAATTCAGGATCATTGTTTGATTACTGAAAAGTTCACCATAATTCAGGAAATATATATTGTTCAACCTATGCTGTGCATTCTATCTTTAAAGTACCATTTCTATATTCTGGTGTTCCTCTAGTTTACATAATGAGAACTCCAGAATGTGCAAGGTAATTGACTGTAACTCTTTTAATTCAGAAATAATCCTATGGAAATCATGAGAAAGTATGCAATTACAATTTTTATATTTATATTTCAGATATGTTCATGTTTCATATTATGCCAAACTATTAAAAAAATCTCAGATGAAAGATCAGCAAGATTAAATCAAACACACAAAACAGCCATGAGTAATTTGCATTTAATCCTTTGGATTGCAACTGGATTGATCCAGACAACTGCAAACATCTAAACTGGTTTAAGGCTGACTGACATTTGCTCTGGATTTTCTCATTAGTTTTGCTTTGATTTTGCAAGACTGTATTATGTCTTGATGTAGGATTTTATATGAAAGCTTTAGGCAACAGCTAGAGATGCAGTTTTAGATGCAGTTTTTTCTTCACAAATCATGCAAAAACAACAGAAAACAGGCTATGACAAAAATTGTAACATAATTGGTACATGAACTGCCTTCACTGCCTGATTGCACAAGCAGGAAAAAGTTGCTGATTAACCCAATCCAACTTTTACTCAACCGCAAAGAGATGAGCAAATGATGGAACTGTTAGTCTTGTAGTTATAAGAGACTGTTATAAAGTGCAAGAGAGAAACCAATATCTAGCACACAAGACCAATATTATTTTAGTATTCCCATTCATCAGTTTTCATGTCCAAATAGTAAAGAATGTTCTGTGCAAGCTTCACTGCCTGTTTCCTGGATACTTTTGAGCGCTCATCTTGAGGATCTATAGCATCAAGTGCTAGAAGCTGTTTGGTGAGGAGCTCCTCTAGCCGCATGTAGTTCTTATCAGTTCTGTTCCCATCAAAAGACAACACCTCTTGCTGAATCTGAGCTACATTTCCAAGAATATTCCAAATTGCTTTTTGTGATGTGACGTCTGTTTCTGGTTGCTCTATAAAGGTTTGTTGCTTAAGAAGTGCCTCCTTTAAGTCAGTATAAGTTATGAGGGTTTGCACTTCTATCACTGCTCGCCTCCTGGCTTCTCGGATGCAAGGATTATTGCCTGGGCTTATTTCATCCAACTGGGCGATTAACCCTTGCAGTTCTGTCTTGGACTTTAGATACAAATCTGAAGCCTTCTCTATTTTTAAAAGGGAACCTTTAACTTCTTTCATGTTCTTGCGTATGTCTTCTATTTTTATAATGGATCCGTTTTGTGCCAAGTCATAAGCATAAGTGGAATCTGCTTCTTCTTCCAGATCCAGATATTTTTGCAATCTATTGATCTCTTCCACTACTTCTTTACGATAGTTTCTTATTTCTGGGTGGCCACATACATCTAAGGCATCCAGATCAGCTATCAGACCTATGAGTACACAGGATAAATGTCTACAGGTCTCATTGTTATTTACTCCCATTAACACAGCAATAAGAGTCCCTTTTGCTTTGTTCACATCTCCTATGACAGAATTAATTTTGGAAACGGAAGGATGTGCATCACTGGACAATGGCAGGGAAGGCTGCTGCTTTGTACAACGACTTATAATTTCTTGAACAGCACATATTTTGGTCAGGGTGCGATATCTGGCTTTCCGCAGAGAAATTTTCCCTCCGGTTTTTACTTGAGTGAGTCTAAAAATTATATCCTGTAAACCTTCTTCAAATTCTTCAGTTACACAGTTGCCTCCTTTATAAAAAGCAGTGATTTCCTGCTCCACCAATGCCTGTGCCTCATTAAATATGGATTCTATCTCCAGCCTTTGGGGATGGTTTGCATTCTGCTCTAGTTCCTTAAGCAGTTTCTCAGTTTCTTGGGCAGCCCTCTTTCTGGCTTGCTGAACATCACCTCTTCCTTCAGCATCCACAGAATCTATTTCAAAAAGCTGTTTAGTCAAAGTCCTTTCTAATTTCTTATAAGCTCTATCACTAGACAAACCACTGAAGGCTACTACTTGAGATTCAAACTCTTTGACTTCTTTTTGTATTTCTTGCAGCCTTTTGATAGATGGATGTTGGTTACCCATATCCATTCTTTTTCTTCATCCAGTTTCAACAGAACTAAAAACAACGGAGAATACAATAAAATGTAACAGATTGCTTAAAATATTCTAAAAACATATATGTACAGTTGGAAGTACTCAAGAAGCATTCCACTATTGTTTTATTCAAGAGACAATATAGTACAGTTACAACATAACATCTTTTTGAAGATATAATAGCTCTTGAAAGATTCTGCCAGTTGCTTTAAATCTGATGCATATTATGAATTTACAAAATATCTAATTGGTCTACCCCTTGCCAAAAGTAAAAACAATAAACTAAAATGTTCCAAGCAGAGTGGTTTCTTTCCCCAATCTCTTTAAATACCACAAGCAAGTCATAACAAGTGCTGATGTTTTGGGAAAAAAACAGTACCAACTCCCGCCCCATACAATATTCTTCTAATATCAAAAGCAGATAAAATAAAGACAAAAACTAGATATATTACCCTTCTTTGATCAGCCCAGGGAAATACAAAGTTATATTTTTGCCTTTTCCTCTTTTTTCCAGAGATAAAGACAGTTGTCCTCATAATTTCAAACTGTACAAGCTACCGCACTCAGGATAACAATACTTTTGAGTTCAGTCCATTCCATCCCACTCAAAACACATTGTGTTCTACCAGTTACAGCTTGGTACAGAGCAGTGGTTCCCAAGGTGGGGACCAGGANTGGTGATTTAGTAGAATAAATGATTATATACTTAGTCATATTATGTGGCCATTATTAACTTCTAAATATTTTCTGATCCACACCACTTTCTAAGCTCTCTAAAAAGATTTTTCAAAATGGACTTTTATTATTTATTTTTTCCACTTAACCAAAGGTAACATTGTGCAATTTAGTGTGGATGTTTGTGCTTCTTTGGTATAGTTCCATCCTTTTATTTTTAAAATAATCCCAAGTTACCTTCCAAGGCAACCGTGAAATATTCCCTTATGACTTTCAGGGAGCTTGTAAGTTATAATGCCAGCCACTTTGGTTGGTAGGCAGGTGTTATCTAAAGACAACAAATCATTTAATAAAAAAAATAGATGTAGGGCAAGCAATTGGAATGTCTAAAATAATGTGTAAAGCAACCAGCATTTTAGAAACATATTATTTAAAAGGAAAATGAGGCGAATTTCCATAAGAAAAATTCTTATACACTTTTGGATACACAAATAAAATGTATGTATCATATATACAAATTATATACAACCAAAAGTCAGGTCCCATAAGCCAATCACAATCTTTTTCCCAGAGAAATATTACTGTAAGTGTTTACAGGTAGTGCTCGATTTACAACCATGTTTTCAGCCACCCAAATTACAACAGTGAAGACTCAGGAAGGAACAGCAAGCATTTGTTTGCTCCTGAACAGGTTCAGCAAGCATTTTCACCCAGCTGCCTTCTCTCCCAGTTACCTGCACCAACCTTTTGCTGTCTCCTTTTTGGATTCAGCTTTTCTGGCAAACATTTTGTACATTCCTACTTTTCTTTTTTTCTGAAGACAGTGCTGTCTTCAAAAACAGGTAAGGAAAATAGAAATAGGAATGCTTTTATCCTTCAGCACATGTATTGTATTGACCTACTAGTGTCATGGTTTTAAATATTTAATAGAATAGTTAAGTAAAATGAATGTTTTTTGTAAACACACAGAAACGTGTACAACTTTCTAGATTAATATTTATTTTAAACACATTGTATAATACTTTCCCTTCATTTTATGTGACATAAAATGCTTCATTGTGTTGCAAGAGCGTAATGGGAAAAAAGCTAGCCTGCTAGGATAAAATAGCTTCAGAAGAATTTGGAAATTTGAGAGCTAAAATGAAGAAAATAATGAACCAGGAGTCCTGGGATCCCAGATATCAGAAATATTTTCTAGACTAGAGGATTGTAGTCTTATTGGCAACAAAACAGCGAAGAACTTTGGAACACCATAAAGATTAACAAATTCATTATTCCCAAAATGTTTGTGGATCATAATTCATTTAAAAAATGAATTAATGGTTTGAGATCTGAGAAAGAATATTCTTATAAGGGAATGGTGATGAACTGAAAAAGACTGTATGGCTTTCCTAAATTATCAAGATAGTATCATACTTACTAGGATAAAAATTCTTGTTTTTTGTTTAGTCATACATCCGATTGAATATATTAACCCACTCAGTATAAAAATGTTATCACACCCAACTACTGTTTTGAAGTTATTGTTCATCATTCTATGTGACCATTTTCTTTTCTTTTATTCCCCCACTTTGAAAATAGCAGATACAATAACCCCACACACATACATTGTTCCTTGAGGCTTATACAGTAGTTCTTGTTATTTGATGCAGTGGATTGAGATCCAGAACAACTGAGTGATCTAAATTTATGTCACAATAAATATGTGCCCTGTGGAACATCTTATCCCCTGAGGTGAAATTGGCTCCCACCCTTCCGCAGGAGCCTGAAGACCTGGCTCCCCTAGATGGCTTGGTACCGTAAGAGGAGGGGCGGACATCACATTGGAGGTGGTTGTTGACTTTAGAGGCAATCCCAGCGCCACCGCCCCCTACTTCCGCGCATCCCGTTTCATCATTGGCATTCATGAAATGATGGCACCGCCATCTCCTAGAGTCGCATCGCAACGCGAGCCACCGACAATTACGAATATCAACCGGCCACAATTAAACCCCAGCTTCTTCTTCTCCTCGTCCGCAGCGTGACGCATGCGTGTTTGCGGGAAAGCCTTCGCGTATTCCTCCCTCGCGCTTCTTTCACTTTTCCAGCCCTCCGTCCGCCCTTCGCATCCCTGCTTCTCGGAACCAGTGACATCATGGCTGTGGACACGCGCAGAATTGTGGGCCGGGAGGGACCGCCATTTTCGGAGAGGAGAGGGGTGGGGCTAAGGCCGGTCAGTCAGATTTGGGAAGCCGGGGAGAATTTCTCTCCCGGCCGTGAGAAAACGGAGGTGTAGTGGGGCAACGGCGGTGCCGGGGTGGCCTCCGCCCCGTGATTGACAACCCGGTCTTTCCACCCGGGCGGTGAAGTCAGAGCAGGGGTGAGTATCGGCATGGGTCCCCGCCGCCTTCCTCAGCATCCTTTTCCCTTTCTTCGCCACCAAGGAAACCCGGCGGCCTGCCGCCCATCAAAAAAAATGCTGATCGCTCTTAGGACTAAGCGGCCAAGGCGGTGGCAGCTGCGGGCGCCAGCTGTAGGAAGAGCTCCGTCCGTGTGTGTCTACGTGTAGAATTGGGAGTAGATGAGAAGGAACAAAGTGTGGTGCGGCAGCACCGAAAACGAGAAGCGGGTCTTAAGTGGGAGTGGATAGGTTCATGGGTGAGATGGAAGAAGGGATGTCACAGTGGGGCGTGTTGAGNGGGACAGTAGGACAGGGACGGTAGGCACGCTGGTGCGCTTAATTTGTGTGTTAAGGTATAATATGGCTACTTTGGTTTTCTTTCTGTGAAATAAAAATATTAGATTGCATCTTTTGTTGATGCGAGATTCTTTTTTCATTAAATAAAAGTGTTTCCTTCTGTTTAATGCACTGGCTTTACTGATCAGTGCTCTAGTACTAACTTCTCATCCAGATTACCATTTTGCACTGTGTGTAAAGCTGATTTTGAAAACTGTTTAGGAACTGATAGCAAGTGTCTGGGACTGAACATTCACTTCATTGTCAGCATGCTTTCGATTTAAGAAGCTGATTTTAACTCCTGAATCTCTTCATATTTTGGAACTCCATAAAGAATACATAGATATTTAGACCATCCTTCCCCAGCCTGAGGCTTGATAAGAAATGAATGGAGCACACCTACTCGCTGTGGCATTGGTGGGATAGTGGTTATGCCATCGTAATCTCTGTTCTGCCTTCTTTTTTATATGTGTTTATAAAGGGATGGGGGTTTTGGGTTACCACATTAAGAGTATTATCCTCCCTTCTGAAACCTTCACCAATGCTACTACCTGGTCGATAATGGTTCCTAGATCTGGAATGAGCATGGTTACTTTGTTAGCTTTTGAAGCTTTTATACAATCCCCCAAAACTAGGAGTAAGAGTCAGTAATTATATTGCTGTTTCCATTTATCTCCAATAATATTTTGGGTTGGGGTTTTTGGCCATGTTAGATTATAGTTAGATTAGTCTCAAATTTTAAATTACAATTTCAGAATACTGTATTACAAGTTGCCCAGAAAAATTATTTTGAAGGGCAGCTTATAAAATGATTTTAATATCCTCACAATTCATCTTCTGCAGTTAAAATTACAAACAATTGCTTTATGTTATCATGAACTTTGAAGTTCATGAAGTTCTGCATGAACTTTACTCCTTTGGGGTATTTTGTTTTGTAGTTTATTTTCTTTTTTTCCAATTGAGCTACTCCTTTATGGGGAGATCAGTTTTTCACTTAACATTTTCTTATTAAAAAATAGGATCTGAAAATTACAGTGGGGATGTTCAGCAATGCATGACATCATGGGTTTATTGATTGATTGATTGATTGATTGATTGAATTTATAGGCCACCCAATCCCGAAGGACTCCGGGTTTGGAACTGAACATTTGAGCATTTGGGGGATTAAGGGCAAACTACAGATGTTAAGTCTTATGGAGACATATAAATACCACACCTGTTTTCTATCAGGGAAAAAAAGAAAATTTGGGAACTATGTATGAAGTTTGGAAAATTGTGTGCCTTATATTGATTGCCTGTCTTTTTCTAGGTTTTAATTTGATAGCATTCTTTTTTTGAAAAAAATATTTGCTCTGATTATTTCATTTCATCACCACTGTCCTATTTGATGTTTACTAAACTACAAGAGAGACATAAGATTGAACTTTGTCCAGTGTTAAATGTTATTCTTTAAAAATTTGCTTAATCTTTTCTCACCTTTATAATTGTTTGTATAGCTTGCCTCTTTCATTGGGCAATATAATGTTGAAATAATTTGTGATGCTTTGTATTATTAACCCCTCTTCCTCTCTTTTTAAGGTTTCACATTTTCATCCTCCTTCAGATTCTTGCTGTGACTGGATTGGGCCTCCTGATCAATATTCAAATCTTCGACCAGTAATATTTTATATTCCTAAACATGAAACACCATTGCAACGAAGACTGAGAGAACTTAGACAGGAAACCCAGGCTTGGAATCAAGAATTCTGGACAAATCAAAATCTATCATTTAGAAAGGTAGAAATATAAAACCACTAGGTGGCACTGGGTGTCCTTTTAAGGCTTGTAGCAGATTTGTTTTAAAGCAATGAATGATATTCAACTGTTCAATATACAAAACATTTTTTATATTTGTGATATTTTTAATTTATTTTTCATTTCTAAATTTCTTCAATACCAATTATGAAGTCTTACTATCATAAACTTAATTATTTGTTTACCCTAACCTAGAGCCAGTGTATTTTTTGTAAGGAGGAAGTATTGCTATACAAATGTGTTAGTCTTAAGTAGGTCCTCTCTCAGTTTTAATAGTCTTATCAAAATGAATATACAGCTGCTGAATTGTTTGTTACAGAATTGCATATATTAAAGATACATTAATCTCTCATTGTTTTGAAGAGAATCTTTCCCCATCAGTTAAAATATTAGATGGAGTGGATTTTGCAATAAACTATTATGATTGATAATAGTCATTTATAAGATGATACCAATACACTAAGAACCAATATATTGTAATATTATTGAATTCTATTTCAGGAAAAAGATGAATTTGTTTGTTCTAGACTGAAAGCCAAGGGTATACAGTCAAGAGATGAAAAAGGTTAGATCATTAATATTATCATTTGGCACACATTCTTAAATTATTTGTGTTATTTGTGGATTTTAAATCTTAGAATATAATCTAAGTCAAATACTTATATCCCACTTTTGATCAAAGAAATCATGCATATATGACTATTTTTAATAAAGCCAAAACAAAAATGGTTTGGAGTATTATTTGGTGTTGATTTGCTAAAATTTTATTTTCTTATAGTGTTTCTAATCCACAAATTCCATTTGTATTTTAAAATAGATTCTATCACAGAAAATTTAGTTTTGGAATAAGAACATTAGGTTCTGTGAGAGTGAGGTTGTAAGTTAGAGAACTAATGACACAGAATAATATAACTAAAATTCAGTTACAGAGAAGCCTGGAAGAAGTCACTTTCCATTCACTTTCCATGAATTTGAAATAGGTCTTGGTTATAAAAGAAATATTCTTCTTCTCTGCTTAGTATTATATTATTCATTTAACCCAGGCAACCCAACCTGTGGCTCATAGTCCAAATGCATCCCTGGACACCTAATAAAGTATCCCTACAAGATTAACTTTTAACAAGAAGTCTGTTATTTATATTCACCAACTATATATTTATGTGGCCCAAGATCATTCATCTTTACTCAATGTGCCTAGGCAAGCCTAGGCAATTTTGGACAACCACGATTTAACCAGTTATTACTAATGCTACTGCTTATAATTCATACAGCAGTTCCATTTTACAGGATTCATATAGCTTTTAATGTGAACGTCCCTAAAATAATGCAACCATTCTGTGAAGGGTTGTTTGTATATAGAAGAACCGTAAGGAGCTATAAATCTATAAATATGGATATCCTGCCTTCAATTTCAATTTGATATTAAACCTGTCATAATAAATAACAAAGAAATTAACCATTAAGATTTGTTTTTTCTTATCTATACACTGTGATTTCATTTCCTTTTCAGGTCAGAAAGCATCACTGACTGCAGAAGAAATGGCTGAATTTTACAAAGATTTCCTAAGTAAAAACTTGAAAAAAAATGTATACTATAATAGGTGAGGAATACTTTTCAGGATAGTTTTCTTTCCTTATCTGTCAAATCAGTTCTACCCTTCACTTTGTTGATTTATTTTAAAACCAATTTGTTTAATAACCTTTTTGGAACTGTTTCCAAATCACCAGCTGACTTTACCTGTTTCTCTGTTGCCATTCATCTACCAATCTGCGTTGTACTTTCTATATTCTTAATATTTCTTCATTGACTGTATTTCATCTAGTGCAGTAGGCTGTACATCAGTCTCATACTATATGTAACTGATAATAGCAGGCCTTGAGGCAGATACCTGGAGGCCTAAAACATTCAATTGTATTCACTGAGATTTGCAGATAAGTGGGGATATAAAATAAAATAAATAAAACATTGCTTTAAATCATGCAGTTTTTGCATACACTCACACACATATAGTACAGAGTAGGGTATTTTTCTAGAAAGGTACTTCCAACGGTACAAATTTGTAAGGGTTCATTTTAATTATTGAAAGACAGAAGATTTTTTTCTAAATATTTATCTTCTCAGGATGACCATGATTTTGCTATGTTCCTTTGCTTCTAAATGTAGGGAATGGTACAAACGGAATTTTACCATCACATTCCTCATGGGACAAGTAGCATTTGAAAAAGCGTGGAAGAAATTTGGACTTAAATGAAGTACAAACTAACAGGTATCAATGTTGGGTAATTTTGACTCTTAAGTTGCAGCTTTGACATTTAAAAATACAAAACTAAAAATTTATGTTTCAGAAGTGCATGCATGCAGAGTTATCACCTATTATTCACATTTATGTCATTATGCTAATTTAAAACTAACAAGTTCTTTAAAAAATCACCCCAATGGTTAAATAGCAGCTTTTGCCTTTCTGTAGAAGAGCATTCCTCTTTTGGGGGAAGTTTAAATTAAGTATATTGCCAATTTCACTTATAGCTTACTGAAAATGGTCAGAATATCATCATTTTGAAAGCAATATTAATTTTCTCTTTAGATAAAATCCAGCATCTATTATTTTTGTGGCTCTGTGTATTAAGATAGTTACATAGTAAGCATGCCCAAATATTAATTATAAACTAATTGTAATTTTTCTCTTCTTTCTCCTTTTAGTTTTTTCAACCAAAGATGAGACGAAGAATTGAGTTTCTGTCATAAATTATATCAAACTATTCTGGTATATTTGTATATAGGTATTTTTATTTATTTATGTATTTATTTATTTTGTTCATTTATATACCAGATGCTTCCAGCTGAATACAATAAAAGGAAAAGGATTCCCAATCCCACAACTTAGGTTCATGCCCAGTGCCTTGTCAAAACATTAAACGGTAGAGGGGAAATGGCATTAAACAGATACATTGAACTTCAGTCACATAACTTAAATTTTCCTTTATTGAGCCTGGTTGAATTGTTTTCCTTCCACTGGAGTTGCTCTTAGTTTGTCTAAATATAAAAAATATTAACATTGCATAGAAGAACACTGCATATATCAGGAATTTGATACTCATAGAATAAGATTAATACTTAGTCATGGTGAGATTAGTAATTTGTTACTACTGTTTCAACTATAAATAATGTAAATAATTTAATATTTTTCTATGGAACTTTAATTATCACTCATGAATATGCCAGCATTATATTGTAATGCATGAATACGATACTGTAATTGTGTCATTTACATCATGATTAACTGTGTTAAGTTTATAATTTAGGAATGGTTTTCCTAGTAAAGACTTTTGTTGCTGGGCATGAATTTCTTTGTCCTGCATTGCTTTATTTTAAAATTTGTGACCAAATGTGTAGAACATCTTGCTAAATGGCTGAAAATAGTATGTTAACAACACATGTTATGATGTGGCATGGGGAACATCTGAGAAGTAGAAATGCCAAACCTACCCCAAAAGACACACCTAATGCCCCCTTGGAACCTGCTTTATTGAGCTGGTCCTGAGACAAAAGGAATTATCTGGCTGCATACGAAATACTTGTACTTAAGATGTATTGGACCTACAGCATGGATCCCAGGAAAATATAAAGAGGACTGGATTGACAATCCAGATGATCTCTGCTTCACCAACAGTGTCCAATCCTTTCATCTTTTTTACACATCATCAATTGCTAAATGACTGAAATATTTTAAGATGAGTTTGGAATTAATGTTGCATTTAATTAAATACAAAAAAACATGTCTCCATTTTGATGTATTCTTTTTTCAAAATCTGATACTCAATGAGTACGATATTATTCATTCTAGAAGAAGTCATTGTGTCTGTCAATCTATTGTCACATAAATATTACCTTTATTTATTGATTTGTACATCCAATGCCTCTTTAATATATATATATATATATATATGATAGATTGCATTAGTTTAATGGAAAGGCAGCGACTATTCCACAACTCAAAATATATACAGTGTGGCATGTCATATAATGATTTGCTCATGGTATTAAAGCAACTGACTTATTTATTCTGAAAACAGGCTCATTGAGATCGACTTCTGGCTGAATAGAAAGGTTCCTGGTCGATTTTGCATAGAGCAGTACTTCTGAGAGATTCAGATTGTGCATTCCTTCCACACAAGATTGCTTTTATTCACAGGTACATTTCCTCCAGTAAAGGAAACAAATAAGCAGGTGAAAGCAACTTCTATTATCCATTCCATCTCCTGCAGCCATTAGTATTATAATAATAGGTCTGGCTGATTTTATCTCTCTCTAGGGCAGTGATGATGAACATTTTAGGCACAGAGAGAGCTCTACGTGCCACCTCTGGCATGTGTGCCATAGGTTCACCATCACAGGAATAGGGGGTTGGTATACACAGAATGTACTGTATATGCACAGACCCACACCAAAGGCAATTATATTGGCCACAAGAAAAATAAAGCCAGTACTGAGCATGGAAATCTTTTTGCTAAGAGTTACAGGACTGCATGTAAACTTAAGTTTCAAAAATTCTTCACTGGCAAGTTTTTTTTGTAAATGCTTCATTTGCTTTTTACCCCATTATCCCCCTCCCCCCTTTTTTTAAACAAATAAATTGCCTAGGTGAAGAATTATTCAACTCCTGAATCTTGCATTCTTTTGTAACCCTGAAGTAAAGATAATTCTGATCCAAGCAGCTTCTGCATTATAATTACTGATATTGTATCACATATTCAGAGTACTGTATGGATTGTTCAGAAATGATTTGCTCTGTAATGTTCAAACCAAATAAAGGAAGTATCACTGACATTGGCTTTATAGAGAAATAACAAAAATGTTTGATTTCCAGTTGAAGTTATTATTTTTTTAAATGTCCGGTATTTTTCAATAAGATTGTGAGTTCTAGGATGAAACATCTTGTTTGTAAATTCTACATGGTGTTTAATCTGATGGGAAATGATTATTGCATTCCAAGCATGTCTTTTATTTCCTGCCATTCATTGGATCTCTTCATTGAAGTATTCATCTCACTGGAATAAAAGAGGATGAAAGAGAAGGAAGAAGCTGATTAAGGCTAAACTAAAAGCTCTTATGAATGTCTCTGTGTGATTGCAACTGCTATTACAGAATGTGTGTTTATAAACCAGAGTATTTTTAATTATGTAAAAGAAGAGCACTTTCATGGTATATTATTGTCAGCATCTTAAGTGTTTCAATTTTTATATTACCAGCATCCTCACTCCTAATTTCTAACCCACTGGTTGTCTAATTTCCAAATAAAAAAGAGGATCTGAAAAGGATTGTATGTGATTATTCTGGACCCCTTTCTCCCAATTCCCTGCTAATGTGAAACAACACAGATGCTATTTGGTCTCAGATATCACTGTTGAATCTGGAATCCCAGTAGAAGAAGATTGCTCTGTGAATCCAATTGGATCTGGTATGGAAACTATAATCTGCATTATTAATAATAATTATGGTCTGATCCAAAGAGATTCTAAAGTATATCATTCTTTTACCTGTCTACAAATACAGTGTGCACCAAATGCTATTGTTTTATTTTTGATTGAGTACTGTTCTGAAAAAGCAGACTTGTGAGGTGACCATTGTGTACAAAAAATAGCCCATGTTATCCTGAGATTACAAGATTTTCTTACACAAAAGCTGTATACCTGTACAGAGTAAGCTTAAAGCTGATGAAGCACAGGAGAAATACATTGTCTCTGCTCAAAAATGGGAATGTTTCCAAATTAGCATTCACACTAGTTATAGCAACTAGGCAACAACAGTGTTTAGCCTTTATTGAATTCTTTATTGAATTCTTTGAAAAATACTTCATTATACTAATATACTAAATAAAATAAATAAATTCCTAGCAATCATTTCCTGAACTCAATGTTTTTCTTGGACTACCTAGAAAGACAAATAATTTGAGTCAGTATTTCCTTCCTGTTTTGGAGGCCAAGTTAATTATTTTCTTTTTAGCCAGAGCTTTGCTATGCCCATGATTGAAAGCATAACTCAAATTCCTTCATATTTTGCTCTGACAATTTATTTCCCTGCCGTCTCCCCTAATTGATTCATTTGTTGAATGATTCATAAGAAGTGTTGTATTCTCAAATTTCATTATCAGCATTCACAACTAAATGCGAGCAAAGTGTAATGAACAGAAATAACAAAGACCTGGACAAGAGAACAAAAGCAAAAGACAAGGAGAATATAGTGTGTGTGTGTGCTAGTGTTATAATAATATAATACAATCGAAAAACTAATTCATAAACTTTCCTGAAAAGAGTATCAACCGTTTAATGTTGGGTTTGCCTTGTTCATGGGAAGAGTTTGAAGGCACTGCCTTTTATACAGGAAGATGAGGCTGAATCGTATCATGGATTTTGGGTGTATCTGCTTCATTTTTCTATCTGCTGCATGTAAAACATTACACAGATGACCTTCATGTCTCTCAGTAGCAATCTTTTGAGTACTCAGATTAGTAACACAGACGTTAAAAAGACATGGACAGATGGGCTTGAAGGGACAACCCTCCACTACAGATGTACACTACAACTGAAGTGTAATATTAATGTTTTACAGTTGAATATAGGAAGTAAAGAAAAATTTAAAAATAGCTTTTAATAGCTCCAAAATAAGCCTTTAATAGAGAAATCTCTAGCAAAACATGCTAGCATCCCAGAGGGATAAGCTTTTATTTACTTTTCCTATACTTAAGGAGTCAGCCAGATATCTTGCAAATAGCTGATAAGCCTGTAAAAAGCAGCTGCAAGATATAGTAAGTGTAGTATGAGAATATTTGGAGTTCTATGTAGATACTGACATAGTTCACACATCTAATAAAAAAACTATAGAGCCCGTTTTTATGTCAGGGTTCCAAATAGCATCCAAAAGTAAATCAGAGTCCAAGGCAAAATATTACTCAAAGTTCCAATTTAGTAAGAGAGCCATGTTGGCATATCTGTGAACACCTGAATCTGAAACTTCCCGCTTTTACCCACCCAGTTGAAAGTTCAAGATCTTGCCCCACACCCACAAGTGGTCTAGTCTCCCACTGCCATGCTGGCAGTTCCTCCCATCCAATTCTGGTCAAATGCAGAGTGCAGAGACAAAGGATGACCTTGGCTTTCTAGGAAGAATTTTGTTATGGCTATATAGTATGTGACTCCTT